AAATAACATCCATTGTAACAACATAAAATGAAAAAAAAAAAGAATAATAATAATAATAATAATAAGGTTTAAAGTATGTCTTATGAGTTTAATAATTATAGTAGTAATTAATAAAAGAATGAAAAACTTATTTCTAAAATTTCTCGAGCTCAGTAGTAATATTTAAATAAAAAAATCTCTCAAATGAAATGACCTTTCACATGTGTAAAGTGGATTTTATATATTGGGAGTATTAATTTTGGAATAATTAATGGTCAAATTATAAAATGCTAAAAATGTCTTATTATTCTAAATATCACAACGTATAAAATTTATCTAATTGATCACAGATTAGTCTATGTTAATTTTAAAAACTAAAGTTAAGCATATAATTAAAAGTCTAAGAATATATAATTAAAACTTTTATAGTGAAAAAAGTAGCGAATTTACAACTTAATCCTTAGGAAGCAACCTTGTTGAGCATCTTTAGAACTTTTGGATGACTTAATCAAGAATTCTAATTTATTTAAATTTGCCCCATGTTTTATTAAAATATATTTAATATTGTTTGAAAATTCCATGCATGACCCTTTCTTTCACTTGCTAGAATGGCTTTGGACTTGGGTTTCTTGGGCAGTAATGTCGTCTCCAGTGCTACATAATTAAATATAATTAATCACTAAAACTTCTAGATTTTTAGTCCTAATTATTTTCCTTATTCTTCAAACTTGCCACAATCTAAGTATTGACCTTAATTTGAGATATTATCATTAACCCATTCATCAAATAATTAAATTTACTGTTTCTAATACTAATAATTATGCATGTTAACTATCTTTAGTCCACCTTAAGAAGAAAAATAATAATAAGTTTTTTAGCATAAATAATAATAATTCATACGAGCTACTAAAATTTAAGCTGAACAATTCTTTTACTACGTACAACAATTCTGGGGTTGTGAAGATTTGAATCTCTGACTTCAAGAGAAAAAGTAAATGTCAGTGCATTAACAAATAAATTATTTAGAATTTTCTTATTGTTTATATATTTTTTACTAATTTATCCTTTCTTTCGGCATATACTTGAGAAGCGATATATCCATTAAAAAAAAAAAAGAAAGAGAAACGTTTTTAAAAATATAGCGCCATTTTAAAATCTAAAAAATAAGTTCTCTTATATTTAGCTAAAATTAAAAAAAAAAGTATTTTATAAAAGATGAAAAATTAAGTTCCCATTTGAAAGCTACTTTGTCTTATTTTATTTCTTATGAAAACTACGTTCTTCCACTTTTTAACAATAACTTTGAAATCTTAATGACATAATGTTTTTGAAAGTAAACAGACTTTTTAATTAGAACTTTTCAAAAAAGTAATAATAATAAAAAATAGAAAATAAAGAAAAATATTACTAAATAAACACGACCTTAAAAAACTTATCGAAGGAGATCAAAGTAAAGAATATGTTTAAACAGGTCAGCCTAGTTTTCAAATATAGAAAAATAAAAATGAAAAACATTATAAAATATGTGAGAGAGAATATTTTTAAACTCGTGTTTGTTGTCTGGGAGATGAAACGTCCCAATTTTATGGAAAAAGAAGAAGAAGAAGAAATGATTTTTCTTCTCTTTTTTTTTTTTTTTTCCTCTTTTCCAAAATTTAGGGTGGAACTTAAAAGGGAATGAGACAGCAAAATCTTCTTGCCCAAAACTGTAAGGTTTTTAAGAGACAGTGACTAATTGGGACTAAATTCAACACTAAATTTCTAAAATGGAAAATTTTGGTGTGGAAAAAATTGGGCTCGTGGGAAGCAAGAAAACGAGAGACAGAGAGAGGGAGAGGGGGGATTAATTTATATATGTTATATTTTTTGAGACATAAATGTTTAATTTCCTCGCATTGTATATAAGATTTGGATAATTGTCGTAAAATTTTAACTTATGTATTAGGTTTTCATTTGAAAAATTGTTGAAAAATAATATGCATTTTTAATGAATTATTACAAACAAATTTTGTATTTTATGCGTTGAAATTGATAGGTTTCGGGGGATTTTTAAGTTGTTTTTATTTTATTATTTTTTTTATTAAGTGCGAAAAATGTAATCGAAATTTAAAAAACGATAACGATGGCAATATTTATCCAAATATTTGATGAAATTTAAAGTTGAAGTTAAAAATTTACTCTTCTTATATTGAGAAGTATTTGTAAAGATTAAATGATTCTCCATTAAAATATATCTTCTCAAATAGTTTTTATAAAGGTACACAAAAATACCTAACTTTCCAAATTAGCTTGAATAAAATTTAAAGTATTCTAGTAGAATATGACATTTTAGAGGTAGACTTTATAAAAAAAAAAAAAAACACCCTTTTATAATTTTCTACTACCACTTGCCATTATTTTCATCAACTTAGAAAATTTTGATCATGAGTTGGATTTTCCAAGAGAATTAGTTGGAGGGTTTTGATTTTTTTTTTCCTCTCTTTTTGTCTTGCCTCCCTCAACTATACATAAAACACTCACCAATAATAATTCTTTTTATATTATATTAAATGTATGTATGTATATATATATATATATATATATATATATATATCCTTTTAATTAGTTAGCTTGAATTTGCTCTATGAAATTGCTCTGAGCTTCTGATCTTTAGGAGAGTAAGTAGTGTCTTAATGAGTTGAACCACGCTTATGTCGACAACAAGTTTCTATTATAGAATCAAGGTTTTAAATGTCGATGTTGGGACACGGAAATATTAAGGTATCAATTTCATGGAAGTTTTGATGTAGATGGATATTTCTGGAAAGGTTATAAAAAAAAGAATTTGTAGAAAATATTTAAAGCATTTCACCATTTCTAAATAAGTTAAAAAAATTAATATTAATATTATGTATATATTAGTGATATTTTGTTGTTATTTTTCATATTTTGCCGATTCATTTTGCAATATTATAGAAATGTTGATTTACTCCTTACCGTGATGTCAAACCCATTGACACGTGTAAATGACGAGGGAAATGTCAACATGGCGTGAGTTTGGTTGGCGATAAGAAAACAGAAATCTGACAAATATATTCTTTGTTTTTAGCGTTTTGTATATCTTTGGGAGCAAATTTGAAAATTGAATCTCAATTAAAAAAAAAAATTAACATGTATTTAGCAATATATTTGTAAACTAGTTACCAACTAAATATTTAGTTTAATCTAAAATAATAACAATTATGCTGTATAATTTATAATATATTTATTTTAAACGTTTTAGTATTAACAAAAAATGAAATGAGTTTACGATGTGAAATAATATATTATTTATTTATTTTTAAATGTAATTCTACATTTTAAACCTTCAAAATCAAAATTTGAAAACACTGAAAACATAAAAACATAGTTTTCAGAATTTCCACGGTTTGGAACACAGAATCCGAAACAATTTACGAAAACAAATCTATCAAACGGCGTTGCCAAACGAATATTCATTTGATTGATCAGTTAATCTGAAAACAATAAACAGAATTTGAATTGCCAACCAAATAGGTTCTTAATACTTTGTAGAACATAATAACATTTCTGAATCATTTTATGTCTAAATCAAAATTGATACATATGGTCAAATAAATCTAGACTAATTAAGACTATAACAAGTTTTAAATCTAACAGTCTATGGTCTTCAATCAAATTCTAATTCAATTTGACAATTAACTCATCAAATGCCTAAGTGGGACAGAATTAATTAGTCTTCCTAAAAACCAACCAATTAAATTAAAAACTTCTATATATATATATATATATATATATATATATATATATATATTGTTTTTCCTTTTCTTTTCTCCTCAACATCACATGATTAAGTCCATATTTATTCTACTTTTCACACAATATGATATCGAAAACTCATATTGACTGCACTCAAATATCAATCAAATTTAAATTCACTGATGTATCTAAAACTACCATCGAGTCAACTCTCTCTTAAAAAATATAATATATTCATTTGATCGTTGGTACGTCTATTCGAAAAAGAAAAGAAAAAGTATTTGCATGTGGAAATTATTAGGGTTATATGATAATATTGACTAGAAGTTTCCTTTTAACATAATGGATGGTTCATACATGAAATGGAAAAAGAGAAAAAATAATAAATAATAAATTAAAGTTTTGATGGAAATGATTGTGAAGTAAAATGGCATCAAAGAGGGCTTTCTTTTTTTGTTTAGAATCTCCCTTTTCAAACACCTTTTTTCTCTTCAGTCTTTACAAAAACTTTTGCAAATTAATTAGTTTCAATAATTTAATTTTCATTGTAATTAAAATGGGTAGTTCTGATTGTGTGAGACAACCAACCCTAAAAATTTGTTGCCACAAAATCAGGTTAGCTGTCAGCTTCCACCATAACCAAACACCAAATTAAGAGAGAGAAAACCAAACCCCTTTTAGAGAGAGAGACAATTCAACCCTAATTTAAAGACCAAATAATTAGAGAGATCAAACTTTTTTAAAAAGGCTACTAGTACCCACTTCTTTTGTTGGCGTTATGGAATTAAACGGTTCTTAAATAATGCTGATGTGATTGCCAATAAATGAAAGTAATATTTGTACGAGTGTAGTACTCGACATTTTATCTTGAGAGTGAGTTAAGATCAGAAGCATCTTTAAAACTAAAGAGCGATACTTTTCCAACTAATTGGACAGAAAGCCACTAAGTTTTTACCGATATTTAATTTGCGAAGTAGGAATATTGCTATTGTCCTGATCGAGAAATTTTGTTTATAATTAGAGAAGAGAGAGAACCAAACTCAATAAAACTAGAGAGAGTCAAACCCTTTAAAAAGACAAAAATAATAGAGAGAAACTCTAAGACAAACGGAAAAATTTTCAATTTCATGAGAGTAGCGTATTCCATTTATTCACACTATAATTTTACTTTTATAAATAATTTTTTAAAAATGTCGGTATCATTTATCATGATAGTACCATAAATTTTTTCAAGACAAAACAAGAGAGAAGAACCTCTAAAGACGAAATTAAAGTCTTTATATCGTGTGGACCTTTACCGTTGTCTGAAGAAATATAAAGCTGTGAATCCTTTTTTCTTTTCTTTTTTTAATTAAAAAATGGAGACAGCCACCTTAGCTTTACTGTAAACTAAAGCAAATTATGATAAGATGTGTTATTAAACCAAATTAAAGAAGAAAAAAAGAACAACCAGAAATGGTATTTTTTTCAATTAGCATCATACCCTTTTCTTTTTTAAATGATTCTCATCTTTTCCCCTCTTTGGACACAACAAATAAGACTAATCAATATTAAAATTCCCCATTAGCTTAAAAAAATTCATTTTTTTTTTTTAAGAAACAACAATTTCATTGAGAGAAATGAAAATAGTTTAAAAAAATATATATGTTTAAACTTTAAAGCACCCTTAGATCACACCCCATAATTTAATTATCACTAACCATTCTTTGTCGTATGAAATAAATGTATATCGAATTATTTTTTTCATAATTCAAATAATGTAGATCAATGGAGAAATCTAAATTCTAAAGCATTTTATAGAGTTCCATTGCCAACTAGTAATAGATCGATATTGGACAATCAGACAACTTTTTGTTGTCTTTTCTGGAAGAAAACAATGAGCTATAACCCTTTTCCACACAAGACGGATTGTATGGGATAAGAATCTCTCGATAACCTGAAAAATCGATCTCGAGATTATTGAATATTCTTTTAGAAAAATTTAAAATAAAAAAATAAAAAGGAAAAAAAAAAACAGATGTAAAGATTTTCATTTAGACATACAGAGCATTGTCAAACGATGTCAACATCACATGTAACATCTCTTGAGACTTGCAAAGTAGAAGGTAGATAACCAAACATTCCAACCCTCCACAACATAATTGTAGAAGCAATAAATTAAAGGGCAATCCAAGTAATTTAGCTCTAAATGTCGCAGTGACACGTGGTGTAACGAGAAGATGAGAAAAATTTCTCGTACCATAACATAATGCAAAAATTTCTCGTATTCCCTTAGTACTTACTCCCCCAATAGTTTTACAAGATTTCCATTGTAACTAATTCTTAACTAACGCTAACGTGACTAGTAATAAACAAGGGTGATAATAAGTACTCTTCTACATTCTCGACAACTAGCTAATCAAATAAGAACTTGATAGGTGCACCCGTCATCGAAAAAAGTTTCTCCAATGATATATATACTATAGACTAACACAATTTAAAAATGATGCAGAGTCCAACAATGTTAAAATATTATAACGAAAAAGTATTTCGGAGAATTTTGAGAGAGAAATTTGTTGAAGTAGAGAATTAATTTTTACTACTTATTAATTAATTAATTTTACAAACTGGCTTCCATAAAATAATTGAGCATAGAGATTGGAAAAAAAGTCCACGCGTCGTTGCTTATTTGGACTTATGTTTGCCTTTTGGGGGCTCCCACCCACACGCTTTCTCTCTACTCACAAACCAACAACAACAAATTTTTAAGTACATTTTCTTCAAAAAATAAAAAATAAATTAGTCTCATTTTTTATCTAGCATCCTATGCCATGTTGTCAAGTTTTATCAATAATTTTAGAGCTCAATTCTTTACTCCGCAGTCGAGAATCTACACGTGTCTTGTACATTTTCTGAAAATGAAAAATTATAGTTCACTTCTAGAAGCCAAAGTAAACTAAATTAGATCCATAGTCACTTACCAATTGAAGTTCCAAGGTGCTATCCATCTCCCCTCTTCAAAAGCATAACAAACACCTACAGGGAAATAGAAACCGAAACCGAAATCGTGTCAGCTTAAAGTGAACAAATATGGGAATAGGATATTGAAATCATGATTCTTGCCAAACATTTCAGCTTCTTGATTAAATTAAACAATCCCATTGATGAAGATTAGAAAGAAAAGCACCCAAGTTTTGGTGCAAGTTGAATGGAATGAATGTTAAGTTTGAAAGTCTGTATTGTGTGTGAGTGCAGGGCACTGTGTGGGATGATGTGTTGATTCTTCTCAAAAGTTGGAAGGCACCAGAGATTTTGTATGCCTAATTTCTCAAAAAAGTTGGGTCAAGACCCATCATCCTTCTTCTAAGCCTCACATCTAATTTTCCAACCAATCAGAAACAGCTTTCAAACTTGAAGAAATGTTGCAGTCTGCATTCTGGTTTGCAACAAGCAAAGTATAGCCATCATAAGTCTATCTTTTAGTTAGGACTTCACTTAGTCCAAATCAGTCAGTCAAATTACATTATACTTTCACCCCTTAAATTGGGTTAAGTGAATCCTCCCCCTCCCTCCCCGCCCCCCGTTTCATGTGAATTTGATTGCAGACTTATTAGATGAACAATGCAACTATTTGGTTAGTTAAAATTTAGAGGAGCAAATTAAGGAGAAATCTTATATATAGATTCTAAATCGAAAGGAAAAATAAGGGGAGGGGAACTCGACGACCTTCCTCTAAAAATTTTGTCCACCCATGATTTTGAGTTCAAATCTCTCTGCTAGTTGAAGTCTTACTGTTCAAATTAATACTCAAAACTTACGTGTGAACAAGAGTGTTGAGATTTGAGAATATATTCAATGATTAAGTTTATTCGAATCTTAAGCTTTTATAATGAATAATTAATATTAAAACTCTAACCCAAACACTATGCTCCCCCTTACTTGCCTGATATGGATAAGTGGAAACAAAGAAAAAACCAGATTCCTTTTCTTTTTCTTTTTCTCTGGCAGCTGAAGACTAAAAATTTATATATATATATACATGAAAGGATAAGGATGTTAGTGGGAGAAGATAATGGAAAAACAAAGGTTTTGAAGTGAAGTAAGAAAGAGAGAGGAGGGGGAGGCAGGTATCATGTTGGTTGATGGAGAGGGAGTTGGTCAGTCAGTGGATGTCTACTTTCCTTTTTGACTTCTTCTCAATCATACTATAAACAGAATCAAATTAAAGCAAAATATCTTTGCATTTTATGTCCTATCAATTCACAAACTGGGTTTTGGATCCTTTTTATTTTCTACCATTTTGAGATGGAGGATTCAAGCTTTTCTGATTTAATCTTTAGTTTAATTCCTATTCTGATCTTGGATTTTTGGATCTTTGGACCTATTGCATTTTAGTTTTCTAAACTTTCAAACATTCCTATGTTGAAAATAATAAATATATAACCTATTTTTTTAAGTTTTTGTTATTAATTCTTTAACAAACTATCAAGTAGAACCTAACTGATGCCTCCATAGACATGTTCGAAACTTTGTAATTACATGCTAGGATAGGTTAAAATGGATAATGAAGATCTGACGCTAAGAGCTAAAATAGTTTTTTATGTGAAGTCTAAAGCCTAAAACAAAATATTAAAAAGTTAGAGACTAACATATAACATTTGAAAATCTATAAACTAAAACAAAATAGACAAAAAGGTTCAATTTAACCTTTGGTTATCTAACCTTAAGTTTAAATCCTCAAACTTTACTTATTTCTCTTTTATTGATAAGCTTTCAAATGTTTTGTGTTAATCTATAAACTTTGAACAAACAACTATTTTAATCATTGCTATTAACTTTTAAAAATATTTTTAGAAACCTAAAGTAAAATAGGTAAGTTTTTACTTGGACGAGTATTTGAAACTAAATGAGTCAAATCAAAGTGTCCAGCTTCGAAAAGAATCCGAGTTTCCCTTAAATGATTATTGAAAGCTAATACATTGAAAGAGCAACCCCATAAACAAAATGATCTTTTCAAATCCTTTCAAGTTAGAAGGGAAAATAAAATAAGTCGGCATAAAAGTTGAAAGTCTAAAATAAAAAACTCCATTTTTTTGTTAATATTAAAAGTAAAAAAGTTTTAGACCGTCAATTCTCATTGTAGAAAATATATGAAACCATAAATAATACGCATATGTATATAGTCACATACAAATAATATAGAATGAAAAGATAAAAGAAAATGTTAGAATTCCCTAAAAAGGTAAGTTCTATTTTTTTTGTTTTTGCTTAGCAAGTCATTTTTGGCTAGTGTAAGTTGGAACACCTTTGATGTATTTAAACGCATTCTTCTGTGTTATTGGACTGCATTAGTTTATTGTATAGTGTATACAAGAGTGCTTTTGAGGGTCTACCATTAAAGTGTTAGTTTTCTCATTCAATGTGGACAGCTTTTTGTGGACTTCTGATGTGGAGTTCCGATTGTAGAGGGTCCTCTTCAACCCGTTGTTTTGAGTAAGGGAGAGGTTAAGATTAAGTAAGGGGAGCCTCTTTATATGCTTCGGTTACTAAACCATTACATATTATTATTTTGGATTAGCACCTTTTGATGGACTGTTATTCAATTCATCCTTCATACATATTTGAAAGGTTCAATTAGTTGGTTATAAGATCCCAAAGTAGAGTCTTTCATTTGAAAGGTTCAATTAGTTGGTTATAAGATCCCAAAGAATAGTCTTTCGTGTTCATGTTTCTCAATAAATGTTTGATTCTAGAAAAGAAAAAAAAAGGTTCTTGGGTTTTTTTTTTCTCCTCTTGGAAGTGTGATCTTTGATTAGATTTAATCTCTCTCTTGAATCTTTACCCGCTCTCTAGTTATTAAAGAGAACAACTATAGCCCTTCCCGTCAAAATGTTGATCTTACTGTTACTTGATACTTCCTCAATTTGTATCGTGAAAAGAAAAGTTAAAATATCTTTCTAACAGTTGTATATACTATCAAATACCAAAAAACAAAGTCACAAGCAATCTTAAAGATGCATCAAAACTAGAGATTTTTTTTCCATTGCATACAGAAATATCCAAGATTGATACAGATCCTACTTCAGCCAACATCAAACTAATCTTTAAGCACATGACATAATATATGGAAAATTTGAAAGCAGAGACATATGGGAGATGGGGTTTGTTTGGGGGAAAGAGAGAATCAGAAGGAAAAGGAACAAACTTGAATCGATGTAAGGTAGGGATTTCTCTGTGGAGCCCTTCCGCCTGAGGCTGCTGCCACATGTCGATGCAGCAGGTATCTGTTATGAAGATATATATCTGGGAAGGTTTTCGATGAGCTTTCTAGCCCTTGCTTAATAAAGCAAGTACCTGCCAGGTTTCATCAGGTTCATGGAGATAAATGGTTTAAATTTCGATATCATTGGGTAGTAAAGAGAGAAGAGAAGGGGAGAAGCCCTGTCATACAAAAAACCGAAGTTAGAGTTTTGATATCAAACTTGAGTAATATAACACTCCCAATCTTCAGAGTGATGGTTTAGAAAATGACAACACATTGCATAAGATTTCAAGGAGACGTAATGTAATATCAAGGTCGAGAATCGAGATCACCTTATACTTCAAGATGCATGCTGATTGAAAGCTGAGAACTGCAATCTGCATCCCAGGAAATTGGCTGCAGCCAGCCAGTCTCAACGGTTTCGTACAGTAATTTTCAGGACATTTCTGGATTCAGCATCAAATCTTTTTGTTCTGAATTGTTGATTACTGCTAGCCCATTGGTGATGAGTTGGGTTCAGAGTGTTTTCAAAACCAGAAAGTTTATCTTTAAACTCACTCACCAATCTAATTCCTTTTCCCATAAAATCCTCTCTCCTGAAACTACTTTCATTTTCAGTTAGCTATCAACCTCAATCGAAGTGTGGAATAAATAAAAATGATCCATCACACCTAAGCTGCACCTTCCTATGCAATGAATCTGTGGCAAGATAGACCATTACAAACTTAATTAGTAACGAAATTTTCACACCTAAACTCTTCTTTGAAGCACTTTCTCATTTAATATACTTACCATTGTAGCAGCAAGGCACATTTCACTAAATATATGAACGCCTAATCCTCATCACAGTTACAAAATTTCATCACCCATTAAGTCAGGTGACAATGATTATATATAGATCTTTTTCTGCATGAAAGAGAGAGAGAGACCTGCAACCAATTTTCAAATGGGGTTAAACTCATCATTTAAGTACGCAACAACTTGAATTACAAACTAATTGCATCCACATGAAATTTCTTAGTATGATGATTTATCGATTTTAAGAAACCATATAGGGGTGAATTATGTTTTAACAATTGCAAATGTTTGTGCATCTGAATAGGTCTTTCTCCCAATAACCTTTTTTTTTATAAGAAACATCAAAAAGGTGTATTGAGAAAGGGAAAACCCCCAAAAAGAGACAGCCTAAATAGTTATTTTCTCCCAATAACCTTGACAACTACTTAATTTAACGACAAACCACTTCATATACTTCATATACAGCTATATGAGAACAGGAAGCAGCATGTCCCAACTCTAAGTGGAGAAGAGCATACCTACATCCTTGAGCAGAAGACCCCTCCAGATTCAAGTAGAAGCCACAGAAAGGCTGGCCCATTCGACATTACAAAATTCATAAATATATCATTATGATCGGCTGGCCTTTGATGTGCCTTTTCGCCTCTTAATAAGCCCTTCCATCAAATTTAGATAAGTATATTTGTTTAAAACAACACCTTGTTTTGTAACTTCATGAAAAAGGTGCATTGCATCCTTATACTTCTGTTGATTACACAGTTCATTGATCTGATCCGAGTAATCCATGGACTTGGAATCAGAGTGTTCTGAAATTTCAGAGGTTGGCACATTATGCCCTTTGTCCAATTTTAAAGACCGATCGTGCAATATTCCTGATTCAACCATTTTCAACATAAACTCTTCAGCTTCCTTAATCCTTCCAGCATCTGTTAGAGCACCAAGAATTGCATTGTAAGTATACTGGTCCGGTCCTAATTTTTTCTCTTCCATTTCCGTGAGAAGTTCATAAGCATTATCAAATTTCCCTGCTTTGCACAGGCTAGATATTAAGGTATTATACGTAACTACATCAATGTCTTTTCCTTTTGAAACCCAAGTATTGAAAAGCTTAAGAGCCTTCTCTAGCATACCCTCTCTACATAACCCACGAAGAAGAATATTACAAGTAAAGACATCTGGCTTGAATAAATTCTCAATCATTTTGTTGTGGAATTGGAATGCTTTTTCAACATTCCCTTCCCAACAATAGCCATGAATAATTATGTTGTAAGTAGTTTCATCAGGGACTAATCCACTCTCAAGAAGTTCATTCAGCTTATCTATAGCTTGATCAGTTTTCCTAGATTGGCATAGACCTCCAATTACAGAGTTATAGGTAACAATACTTGGAATAATCTGCCTCTCCTTCATTTCATCCCAAAGACTCAAGGCTCTGTTTGCCTTTTCATCTTTGAAGTAACCCATAATCAGAGTACCATAACTTACCTCGTCAAGAATATAGCCCCGCTTACTAGCACTGCATAGCAACTTATATGCCTCATCAAGCTTTTTCTCCCCACAAAGAGAGTGAAGAATTGTATTCAGGGTGCAAGTATCAATTTTCAAACCTTTCCTGGTCATTTCATCCATCGCTCTAAATGCTTCTCCCATTTTCCCTACTTTACAATATGCATTTATCAGAGTATTGTACGTAACACAATCAGGGGAAAATCCATTTTCTTCCATCTTCTGGACAGTGGTAGTTGCTTCATTCATATTTCCTTCTTTGCACATCCATTTCAGCATTATATTGTAAGTAACTGCATTACACTTCACACCTTTTTTATCCATTTCCTCAATCAAGTTATTCGCCTCAGAACTTCCTCGCCACTCGAAGCACCCATCAATCAGTGTGTTATAGGTAACCACATCAGGCAACATTTTCATTTTCTCCATCTCATCTCTCAGCCTAAAAGCGTCGTCGATCTTACCATCATTAACAAACCCACTAATCAACATATTATAAGTCCAAACATCAGGCAATAAGTTATTCTGCGTCATTAGTTCAATCACCTTTGTTGCATCCTTCAGCCACCCCAATTTGCAATACCCAGAAACCAAAATATTATATGTATTCTTATTTGGTAGCAACCCTTTATTCTTCATATCCAACAGCAAGTCCCGCGCCTCATATAACTGCCCCTTCTTGCACAATGCATCCAATATGGTATTATAACTCACATTGTCCGGTACACAACCAAACTCACCCATTTTATTCACCAAATCTAGTGCATCTTTAAACCTACTCTCCAAGCAATACCCATAAATCAAAATATTGAAGCTATTAGTATTTGGTACCACGCCAAGCTTAATCGAATCCTTGAACACCTCTCTAGACAACAGAATCGAATTCGAAGAAGGGTATCTTACCAAGGAATTCAGCAGTGTGTTGCACGTAAGCAAATTCAGCCGGTAATTGAGCCGCTTCATCTTCTTGAATATCTGCGCAGCAAGATGGGGCTTGCCCATCTGCACGTAGGCGCCAATGGAGGTATCCATGAGAGCCTTGGACGGCCTCGGAAGACCGCGACTGGGATGGAGAATCAATCTATGGAGGTTGTGTTGGCGATCAGAGGCAATGAAGGAAACAAGGAGGGATTTGGCATCGGAGAACTTATTATGGCTGAAGAGAGAGGGCAAGAGAGTAAGAAGCGAAGTGAGAGAATTATTGGGCGGGGAGGAGAAGGCGGGAACGTGTTTCTGAGCCCATTTGAAGAAGGAGAGGAGAACAGAGGGACGAGAATTCAGAACCCTGGAGGAGAAGATAGAGCAAATGAGGGAAGGGGAGAGGTGTGCGGCGTAGGGGCCGAGTGCGCTCAGCGGCGCTCTACTGGAAGTGAGAATCGTCGTTATGGTTTGAATCAGCTCCTCCGGTCGATTCTCCTGCGGCATCAGCCGCTGATTTGGGGTCGTCGGAGTTTCCATGGCCTCCCAATACTGCTTCCTAGGGTTTTGGCATTAAGAATCTCAGAATCCAACCTCCTTATGAGAGAGAGAGAGAGAACAAGGGTTACTTTTAGAATTGCTAAAAAATACAAATCCGTAGTTTAAGGGTATAAATATGGCCCAATTATAATTTCCCCAATTCAAAAGGGTATAAATTAAAGCTCTTATAGTAGCATCCATGGCTTCTCTCTTCCAGCAAATTGCGTCATTCCCATTATTCCAATTCCATCAAATCAGTACAGAAACTGAAAAGTCTCATGAATCCGAGTCGCAGTCGCTGATTGGGAAGAGCTTCTCCAGGGGAAGAAAGAAGGAAGATAGAGAAAAAGTTACCGTTGATTTCTCAATTTAAAGCCACACCCACAAGCTGTTTGATGAAAATCCTCAATGGGTTCTCTTCTCTTCAGTCTTCGCTCCCTTCCTCTAATGGCTATGTGCTATCATCCTTACAAACACTTCCTACCCATTTCAGACACAAGGACCAACAGGCAAGTTCATCTTCACAATTGCATCACAACTTCCTCACAATTTTGGACAAATGCCGTGTAATTTGACTGCACTAAACTCTGTTCAAATGATAAACAACAGTACAACACAACCAAATCAAAGACAGCAAAAACAGCACACGTGTTCGCCTCTTCCCCCACGTGTCGTTCCCAAAAGCTTCAACAGTCGCCACCTGGTTCTCCCCTCTCCCATTGTAGCTTTCTTCAAGCTCAATAAAACCCCATTTCAGCAGCGCCCAAAATCTCCCTGCTTCTGGTTTTGGCGTCCACACAGAGAGAGAGAATCATGGGTTCTGAGACTTTTGTGGAGATCATACTGGCAATTCTTCTACCACCTGTTGGAGTTTTCCTTCGCTATGGCTGTGGGGTGATGGCTTAACTCAAGTTCTTCACTTCTTTTTTCAAATCATTTTGCAATTTTGCTCATCAGGTTTTTGCTTGTGTTTTGAATTTGGAAGTGCAGGTAGAGTTCTGGATCTGTTTGTTGCTGACCATATTGGGATACATACCTGGAATCATATATGCAATATATGTGCTAGTTGGATAGAGCTTTTTTTTTTTTTGTTTCATGTCTTTTTTCTTGGGGAGAAGACAAGAAAGTGTAGTTTTGTGGATGTTTCTTTGCAATTTTTAGCTTGTACAAAGTTGTTGGAATATAATCAAATGTTGAGAAGAAGTGATCCCATCTTCTGTGTTTGTGGTTCATCTAGTTTTTGGTTTAGCTTTGTGTCTCTCTTGAAATGGAAGTAGTGTTTTAAAGATGTTAAAATTGGTATGAAAATAGCCATTTATACAGGTTTGATCTAGACTATAGAAGAATTATATCATCCTCCTGGAAAAGGCCAAAAAAAAAAAACATTTTTTTGGGGCCAGCGTTCTTGTTTCTCATTTTTAAAGAAAAACTTTGATAACAAAAAATAATAATTAAAAAATTAAGGGTTTGTTTAGTGATTCGTTTAGTGATGTTTCTGTATTTTATTTTAGGTTTCTAATTTTTTAGAAACATTTTTTAACATTTGTGAACCCCTATTTTTTCTTCCTCAAAATTGTTCAAGTAAAATACGGGGGAAAAAGGGTAAAATGGTCTCTTGCTCTTTTTTCTAGTAAAATATTATTTTATTATTTTTTACTTGCCACAATAAATATAGCATAAAAATTTGAACTTTTAATTTAAAATTTTAATTTTTAAATAAATGTTTTGCTTTTATTAACTTAAAAATTTAGAGAAAAAAAGGGTTCAATAAGAAATCAAAATGTTACTGACAAAAAACTGAAAAAAGGAACTATGCAGATGAAGAAGAAACAAGAAATAAACAAAACATTACCAAGAACTAAAAGACACCTATATAACTTTTTAGTATGCTAATACTGATATTAATTTAAAATGTCAATTTTTGTTAACATTCAAAGTTTAAGCAAAATGGGCTGAAATACTTTGGAGGGAAGACGATGAAGAAATAAATTTATTTTTAAGGTAAAGAAAAAGGTTTAGTACTTCGAACAAAATATTCAAATATCCAAAGCAACAAATGAAATTGAAAAAAAAAAATAGCATAAAGTTCGAAATTTTACAAATTTTAAAAATGAAAAATTGTACCTAAATAATTATCACGTCAATCCCTCCCATTATTTTTTTCCAAAAAATGAAAAAAAAAATAGGCATCCAATCGAATATCACCAACTAATTTGAATCAAACAATTCGAGCTAAACAAATACTTGGAATCTTATATTCTTTGAAGCTATATTTCCTCATTCAAATCTCAATCATCAGATCAAAATGAAGGGCTCAGATTGAAGGAACCGCATGACTCCAATCCCCAAGATTGCTATACATTGGAGCAACATCTATCCAAGGAGAGGATGAAGTTTCAAAACCCCCTTTTTTTTCTTTTGGCTTCCAAATAAGCCAACTCCATGATTCACCTTCAATGGCTGTGATTGGACAAATGTCATGTACAATGAATGCCAGTTGCATCAGATTCAAAAGCCAGCTTCCGCCAAGAAAAATCAACAGAAAGTGGGGAGAAAAAACTTCGGCTAAACATAAATTTACATTCAACTGCTACTAACTGGGGAGGATCTAAGTTTACAATATTTGAGAATGAAACGAGGGGGGAAGCCATAAGTAACCTTGAATGGAACTGATGAGCATCTTCTAATGGTCTGCTTACCTCTTCTTCTGGCGGCCTGTCGATGTCCACGTGTTATTCTCTCATTGGCGTCATTGCGTTCTTCAGTCGGCTATTGCATTTTCCGTATAACCTGAGAAATTGTGAAATGATTAATATCATGGCCAACAGAATACTGGTAAGATTGTGTAGACAAGAAACACCATTAAAAACAAAAGTTTATACTAAGTGAAATGGTGATGATGTTAGTTCTATCCAAGAAAGAAAAGCTTTTGGTAACAATATCAAGCTTTTAAAAACTGGCATGGGTATAATAATTACATTTTCGGCTTAAATGAGGTATCAAAATTGTCAACTGTCACCTTCACCAGGAATGTAAGGTTAATACAATTTTTTCACCATAAGCAGAAATATACTTATTAAAATTGACTAAGTAAAAGTACAAGGGAAGGGATGGAAATATAGAAGGCCATTAATGTTCTATCAACCTTCCTAAAAAGCCTAAACATTACTGAGGTCAAAGAAACCAGCATCTTTATGCATTTTCGGGTGGGGAACACCAGAAAGAGTTTTTTGACGTTTTAATAGTAACAATTTTACAAAGCAAACTTTTACTGAGCATCTGAAACGGGTAGCCAAAGAAAGCATGCATACCTTAAAGTTAATCTGTGTTCTTTTCCAAAGATGAAAGACCAAGATGCTTGTCCTGATCCTTCGTGGGGACAGAATCAGGGAGCTTCTCTGAGTCTGGAATTGCGGCAAGATCAGGTTGCATCGCCTGATCCTGGGTCAGATGCTTTTGGGAAAAATCAGATTGTGCGTCCTGCTCTTGTAATGTGGCAAAATTTGATTCCGTCTCCTGCTCCTGGTTAGTGGCACGATCAGCTTGCAATTCTTGCTCATGATCAGATTGCACATCCTGCTCATTGGGTGTAGCCTCGCCAGATTGCACCATGTGCTCCTCATTTGTGTCACTATCACATTGCATCTCCTGCTCCTGACTTGTGGCCTTATCACA